AACTGTTTCATTAATGCTATTTTAATCCTATTTTATCATCAAATCGCTTACACATTTTTTCTATTTTAAAGCTATCTTTACAGTAGTTATGACCTGCCAACCATTAATATTTTTTGCTTCAAAATAATAGGTATAAAATAGTTTAAAAACAGCTTTAAAATAGTCCGGAAAAATAGAGAAAAAATGCACAAAAAATAAGGAAAAATAGTTAGAAAAACAGATATAAAATAGATATAAAATAGGCACTATTTTTGTAGGGGTAAGGTATCTGACTATCCTATCTTTGAAACAGTACTGATGTAATTAAACATTTTCAGAAACCTGATGGCTTTACAAAGAGTAAAATGTTCCGACTTTTGATTGACTTCCAAGTAGAATCTTGAATTTCCATGAAATGATATGCGATTCATTGACACAATGATCTCTGACCTTGAAGAAATGTATTTTTTTTCTGATTTTTCCTTGACTGTGGCAACCCTGATTTATTAATATAAAATGTTAAATCCTTTCAGGCAAAAGAAAATTAAATACACTCAAAACACACTCCTGACCACAAAATAACTTAATTTGTAGTACATTTTGTGATGTAGATCATTAAATCAAAGTCAAATGATCCTTACTGCATTAAGTTCCCTATAATAACAGTAACGGTAACACCAGAGTTATACCAATTAGTTTCTGCAATATTGTAAAAAAAAAAATTTATATATATATGCACATATACATACATAATATTCTGAATGATGACTTGATTGACACTCAAAGTGAATCTAATACCACTAAATGATAAAAAACATGATCACGAAGCTAATTTTTGTAATCGGCCCATGGGCATTGCGGTAGAATAATACTAGCTATAGAACTTAGCCAATCAGAGCACATGCATATTACAAACTCCTTGATCCTTGCCCTTTCGCTTTCTTTTCTTGTTTGGTTTTCTTGTTGGTGTTTTATCCACCTCTTCAACGCCTGTTCCTATATTACCTGTATAACAGTGAATAAACATTATAAAGACATTGACAGATATCACAGATGGATGTGGCTATGGCAGGAATTTCAAACTCCCATGGGAAGGCATATCGTTTCAATGGCAATCTAACTTTTATTTACAAATTAAAACCTAAAAAAACATGAAGGCTCTGCAGTTAATTTAAATTCAATTTAAGTCCAGTAGGACCCCGCTTACTCGAACTCGGTTCACTCAAACCCACCAGTAACTCGAACAACTCTGATTTCCCTTGACCCATGTTTTTCAGTCAATTACTATCAGCTAACTCAAACACTCCCTAACGTGAACCATATTTTGTTCCCTTGCGAGTTTGAGTTAGCAGTGTAAGTCTGTTTATACATGCACCTTCAGATCCTGAGCTGCTGTCTTCTGTTGCAGCCAGTAAGTCATGAAATTTAAAGTCTGCTGCGAGAGATTTCTTAGTCCTGGCCCTCTTGTTCTTATTGTTACCAAATTCCTTCCGACTTGCAGGGCTTGGGTTAATGCATTTGGAAGCTACTTCCTGGAGCCTTCTTCCTTTCAAAAGTAAAGTTTCCTCTTTCATATTTTACTAACTACGTCCGACCCAAACTTCTGAGAAGAAGTAAACAAAAGCCTCGTTTTGTCCTTGTTATGCTTATAAGTAATAGAAAGTTCTTTGAGTCGTGCACCAGAGAATGTAGTTTCTCCAAATTTAAGATTCCTAACAAAGTGCTGGAGGACAAATTTTAAGTATGTACGAAGCTCTTGGTTTCTAACTTTAAATGAAAACTCCCAGACATAATGGCGGCTTGAAAATAAAACCACTCAGTATTAGTTAAAGTACAAAGAAATTTTATGACTTACGGGTGCCACTACGGTATTGACGGTTTATGATAGGGACCTCGATAAATAAAAACGAAAAATAAAAACTGTTTATGCTTCTATTTCTCCGAACACAACAGGGGATAAAACTTACTTATTCAACTTGTAATCTGCACGACATCATATCGGCGATGAAGTTCCTATCCTGTACATAATTTTTTAAGGATGAATCTTTAATGTCGGTCCGATTAAAATAGCCTTCTATCTTGCGAATATCTCAAAATATGACTTAACTGGTAATAGTTCTCGCTAAAAACTGCCCCCAGCATTTGTAATATATGCAAAATTTATTTACTGGAGAGAAACACCCCATGCATACCCGTGGTGTCAACCTCAACTGGCATACTCACTCTTGTAATACTAAATCCATCGATGCTTACGAAAAGAGAGAGCATATATATTTAAGCAGTACATAGGGATTTCTTCCCGTAAACGTAATGCTATTGATGTGATTTATTTTGAGAATTTTAATGACTTAGACCATAGGTTTGCTTTATCTTAGATCCCTACTGGTATACTTTGAATTACTTTCATCGCAGGAACGCGTATTAGAACCACGAACTCGAGTGAAATGCAAATTCCCCCTGTGATCGCATTTGTGCGAAAGAATACATACATTGCATGTAATGAATGGCAAAGAACGAATTAGAATACACTCATTTTGGCACAAGCGGCTTATTCGAAGGTAAATACAGCGATATCCGTGATGATTCCCCTGAAGAGGTTGTCCGTAAAATTCATCCCAAAAGTCAAGGTCTCACTTTGCAAAGAGAAAGGACAGGGCTGTCTTTACTCAGACTAGATCCTACTGCGGTTCTTCAAGATGGCTTAACTCGATCCGCGGCCGAATTTACTCTGTGCCATGTCCTCAAGCCCTCTGGCATATAGATGAAAATCAATTTATAAACTCTAAGGCACAAATATACTAAATCTCGAAAATGCAAACAACATACAGTAATAAACACTCTCAAACTTACCTTTGAAGTGCTGTAAAAATCGCAGAATAATTAATGCCACTCGCACAAAGCACTCCAAAAGCAAAAAAAACACAATTTGGTTTCGCGCGCCTTTCGGATTTCAGAAGTTTCAGGATGTTGGCCCCAGGCCACGGAGCGAACAGAGATGGAATGATACCTTCACTGAATATTGCTGAATTGCATGTTTACATGAAATATTCGAATTAAATGTTTGCAGTGAATGTTCGCATTGAATGTTCGCATTGAATGTCAGGATTGAATGTTTCAATTAAATACTTGCACTAAATGTTTTAATTGAATGTTTATATTTAATGTTTGAATTGAATGTTTGCATTGAATGTTGGAATTGAATGTTTACATGAAAAATCGGAATTGAACGTTTGAATCAAATAGTGAATGTCCGACCTGCAAGTGTAATTGATATATTTTAATACCCGAGATGAAAGTTTCGCTAAAGGATGAGAAGGTTGAATTAAAAACCCGCTAATTTGGAGTTAACATTCAAATGTTACTGAAAGGTTTTGATGTTTATAAATAAACGTTAAACCACAGGCAGCCCAAGCTCCAGCTGTGAAATGATCATCTTACGAAATAACAGTGATGGCGAAATTATAAGTTTGTTTGGGAATATTTACGACCGCTCTAAGGAATAAAAAAATAAGTCAAATTCTCACAAAAAATACTTCACCTTACTTCCACAGTGCGTTGCTTGTTATCTGACCGCATTCTAAGTTGAAGGAAATCCATTTTGGCGAATCATTTTTTTCCAGGTTTTCTATATATATAAGAAAAACCCTTATGTACGTAGAAAACCTCGAAATATTATTCCTTAGAGCGGTCGAAAATATTCGTATACAAACTCTTATAATTTCTCCATGACTCTTATTTTGTAAGATGATCATCTCACAGCTGCTAGCTGGAGCTTGGGCCGCCTTTGGTTAAACCTGATGAATTGAAAGTTTTAACTGACTATTTGTGTGTTTGGAGCGCATAATTAAATGTTCTAATTGGATTTCAAAAGGCTTTTATGGATGTTTGAATCACAAGTTGAAAGTCTACAGTTAATATTGCAAAGTACAGGTTAATGTTTGTATCTTCGAATAAAAATTAGTCAATTGAACTTTGGTGATGTTGGAACGCCACAGCTTTTTTAATGGTTTCTTTAAAAGTAGCGCACGTGGGACAATTTTTCCGGAAGGCACTCTATTTTGTTGACAGTAACCCTTAGATAAAGGACATAATTCAATAATATATGCGAGCTTGATTGCAACTGAGATGGCGAGTGGCCTCCCTGACATAAAAACATACTGATATAATTTCATGTTAATTTTCCTTTAAGAACCCTATGCAGAAGTAAGTTGTCGAGGTTAAATCACCACAAATTAAACGTGACAATCATTTTAAAACCCCAAAGAGAAGAGCTTTATTGTTATTATATTCCTAGGTAAAAGGTTGAACACTGTTACAGCGTTGAAGCTGCGCTTGAAGACAAGATCAGATGCAATTATGACCAAAGAATGACCTGGAAATCCCTACGTTAGTCTCGTTATAGGATAAACACTTTGAAAACAGGGAGGGGAGTTGTTTATTGCCAGATAAGTAAAAAAAAAGCTCTTCAAAAAAAGCCCAACACCGAAACATCTAGTAGCAAGGAGCACATATAACAAAAGACCACAAAGTAGCATCACTTACTCAGGCAGTTCCATACACTACACTGAAAAACGGGGTCGTTACAGCCCGGCTGAATGAGCGGGAGCTCTCCATAGATAATTTGATACCTATCTCATCATCTCATCTTATACCGAGGCTTCTCACTCAATCAATAAAGATCCCAACACCACAACCTATATCTAAAAGTTAAAATATCGGGAGGAAACTGACTGACTTAAAAACCTACTCTTAAACAAGACAACGACATGGCATTAAAATTCATTTCCGAAAAAAACTACTTAAACGCTAGTTGCCTCAGTCAGATCCTTCTTCTTCCACTCTGAGGAAGCCTAATTGTATTTTGGCATGATGCACTTTCCATGTGCATCACGGGCAAAGATTGGGCAGGTACCTGGAGGGAATGGCCAAGCTCCAGCCTCCTTCTCAGCCTCCTTGGAGATCTCATGAACCCTCTTCACCAACTTCTCGAATGCAGCTCGACCCTTAGGAGTGCCTATCGTATCTCGCATGTCGGCCAGTTTGCCCACGTACTCACCCATGGTTGTCAGGTTCTTGAAAGGACATCCGTGTTTGAAACCAGGGCAGTTTCCGGTAATTCCTTTCATTTCATCAGCAAGACCTTTATACGGGCACACACCTTTGCCAAAAACTGGGCACTTCTTGACGATCTCTTCAACCGTCAAAGAATATGGATACTGCAGGTTAAAGGGAAGATAGAGTTGAACTAGAAACAAGAATATTCACTAGGAAACGGTACACAACAGCTCAACTAAATCAGCCGTAAGCTAATCATAATTTTCTTCATTTCAGGCAATAGATTCTGTAGAACGATTCGTGTTTCGAGATTTGCTCTGAAAGTGGGAAAAACATTACACAGTGACAATTGTTTGGCATTGCCTACAAAAACTAGTGAAAGAAAAGAAATCCCTGCATCTAAGCTATACGTTAGAAAGCTCTTTATCGATGGTTTCTATCAATAGTTTCATGCTGAAACCGAAATTACCTACCATAGTGTATGCAGGTTTCAAAATCTCCATTCCTGCAGTGTCTTTGGCAAATGGGCAGCCACCCTTGAAGAAGCTTGGAGGGGAGACAGTTCCATACTCTATGTTTTTTTCCTTACTAAGAAAGACGACATCCTTCAAAAACTCGATCCATTGAGCTTCGTCTTTGGACTGGTCACGCATCTGACCCATCATGTCTTGAAGCTCACCAACGGTCTTGCATTGTTTGAAAGGGCAACCATTGTTGAAAGGAGGACATTTGTCACAGATGCCTTTCTTTTCTTGGGCAAGCTTGGCATATGGGCAGCCACCACCGAGAAATGCTGGACAGTTCTTCAATATGTAATCTACGGTGACGTCTGACTTCTAAAAGGTTGAAATAAAAACGGAAAATCTAAGGCTCAACGAGGCGATTCCTTATTTATGACAGCCGGAATCCAAAACATTCACCATTTGCCGTCATACATTTAGCACATCTTAGCTGTTAGACCAATATAGTTGTGGGGTTAGCGAGAAAAAGATTGACCCAAAGCATTTACAAAATCATGCTTACAAAGCGACCGAGAACTTATAAATACGTTGTGTCTATGTTACGTAAGAGCGATAGATTACATAACAATTGTTCCTTCTGGGCTTATGACTGAGCAAGACGAAAGACGAAACTTGCGACAAATCAAGATATTGTTTGTGTAGGTAATCACATCATTTCGAGTAATAATATGGAATAAATAAGCGGGAGTAAATTTATTCAAACCGTGCATTCGGTCAAAACAACCGCGTACGATCAAAACAATAATATGCAATGATATCTTCACATCTTTAAGGCGCAAAAAAGTTCAAAGTCCGGCTAAACAGTTCAAGGAATTGTTCAGTCTGTGTCCGAATCACTTTCGATGAAATGGAATCGTCGTTTCCGAGGTTTAACCATGTTTGTTTTTAATTTCGGCGTTGGATCGCTCGAGCAAAGTGTTAAGCTGGGTCGGCTCGTAATTTTCGATTTCCTTGGCAATTCCCTTCTCTAAAAACCACTTTTTCCAAACCGACAATCAAAACGGAATAGTTTAGGTTTTCCTCATTTTGCACTCCATCAGTTGATATAAAATTTGATTCATTAACAGGGAGAAAACATTCCTTTCATAAACTTAGCTTTTTTTCGCTTTTGTTAGTCGTCCCACTCATTCTCAATGTGATTAATGCTTTTTTTTCTATCCTACGAAAACCATGCAATAGACGACAGTAATAATAACATTATCATTCGTCAGTCTCTTTTAGGATACTTTGCATCAGAGGCGACATGCACTGGTAATATTTCCTCAGGATAAAAGAGTTTTAAAAAACTGCAATATTCTGATTAGAAAAGACAGTATTTAGGGAGTGTCACACAGTTTGAACATCAAATGCTATAGCATTAGCTCCTCAGTAATAAAATCTTTAGACAGCATTTAATCGAACCCCTTGGTTAACCTCAGGACTGAGTTACTTACTGGCTTAGATGACGCCATGTAGAGCTCGCAGGAAGACTTTCTTGCAGAAAGAATTCAAAGTCTCGTAAGCTGTAGTAGTTCACACTGTTACTGACTAGCTCAACTGATTATGCTGGGGTTGGGTGTATCAATTCAAAAGCAAAACGGAGGCAAATAACAATGGATGATTGACGCATCAAAACAGGTTATTCTCGATCAAACAGGTTTTCCAACACGTGGTGCAATGCATCATTCAGTTCAAAAAACGTGATAATACCTTACCAACACCTGCAAATTTGTTATCAAAGTTTCTGATAATTTGTATCAATAAAAAGGACCGTCCAAATCTTGCAAAAAGACTCTTTTTTTGACAAATCAAATAACTGACTCATCATAAGAATAGATATAGATTTGTAGACCATTATAAAAGGCACCGCCAGCTTATCGATGTAATTCAAAAAGAACTTTTGAATGCGCCTGCACCAGTTTTAACAAGTGTTCAAATCCAGTCTTAGTTGTGGAGTTAGCGAGAAAACGATTGACGCAAAGCATTTACAAAATCATGCTTACAAAGCCATCAAGAACTTATAAATACGTTGTGTCTATGTTACGTAAGAGCGATAGATTACATAACAATTGTTCCTTCTGGGCTTAAGACTGAGCAAGACGAAAGACGAAACTGGCGACAAATCAAGATATTATTTGTGTAGTTAATCACATGATTTCGAGTAATAATATGGAATAAATAAGCAGGAGTAAATTTATTCAAACCATGCATTCGGTCAAAACAACCGCGTACGATCAAAACAATAATATGCAATGATATCTTCACATCTTTAAGGCGCAAAAAAGTTCAAAGTCCGGCTAAACAGTTCAAGGAATTGTTCAGTCTATGTCCGAATCACTTTCGATGAAATGGAATCGTCGTTTCCGAGGTTTAATCATGTTTGTTTTTAATTTCGGCGTTGGATCGCTCGAGCAAAGTGTTAAGCTGGGTCGGCTCGTAATTTTCGATTTCCTTGGCAATTCAATGGATTCAGCTTTGCCGTTACGAGCTAGGCCTTAAAAAAATTTTGGGTAGGACATTTTGATAGACCTTTGAACTGTACAAGAAATAAGCTGCCTTTTCCGCATCACCTGATCTCGCATTCCTGATTTTCGCATCAATTTTTTCCCCAAACCGCGAAAGGCGCGAAATTTGGCAGTCGCGAAGATTTTAAATTCGAAGTTAACTGCATAACCGTGTACGAAACGAAATACCACAAAGGCTGTTTCTATATGTGGCATTTAGACACCAAAGAAACAGTGTGCCATCGTCCCTCGATAATGATGATGTTAGAAACGACGAAACATTTGGCGTAATTGGCTGCGATATATTGCTGATAAAGCTCTCAATGGTCGTTTAATTTTTGTGAAGAAAAAACTGTAGCCATACACAGACAAGCATCGGCGGTCATGTGGTCACAAATTCAAATTCCTTACCTACTCAATCCCATAGAGTCCATAGAGTCCAGTAGCTCAATAATCCTAAGTTTCTTGGTTTGATTGTTTTTTTGTTTTTCGTCTGTCCTTTTTGGTGTAATCACTTCAATATAAACTTCCTTTGGCAAATCCTGCTTTCTACGAAACACGTGTAATGATGCAACCTTGAGTATTTTTGTGAAGGGTTCAAAACAATAGCTATACGGAGACAAGTATCGGCGGTTATGTGGTCGCAAATTCGCGAAAAGTTACGAATCAACAGGCAGTTTATTCATAAAAATGAAAAACTAAAACGATTAACGATAGCAATTTCATCTCATAAATACGTTGTGCCTGTATAACGTAAGAGTGATAGATTGCATAACAATCATGCAAGTCATAACAATTCCTTTTGTGCAGATGACTGAGCGAGACGAAAGACGAAATTGGCGACACATCAAGATATTATTTTGTGCTATAAAGACAATCTCTTGCCAGATAGAAACTGTGGGCTTGCAACGTTCCATGGCTACAAGTTGAACGACTTTATCATTTTTTTTTACCTGAGGCATATCTTACATTCCATTACTGATAGTTCTAATGAAATCAAGATCAAGCACGACACTTAAATCTACTGTTTCTTGAGGCCTTGCGAGAGAACGGACTAGCTTAGGTTTTCCTCATTTTGCACTCCATTAGTTGCAAAGCAAGAGCGAGGCATATAACAATAGATGATTGACGTATCAAAACAGGTTATTCTCGACCAAACAGGTTTTCCAACACAGGGTGCAATGCATCATTCAGTTCAAAAAACGTGATAATACCTTACTAATGTTTTTACAACGCCTGTAAATTTGTCATCCAAATTTTTTGATTATTCGTATCAATAGAAGAACCGTCCAAATCTTGGTCATTTAACAGTCATTTTATGACAAACCAAATGATTGACTCATCATAAGAATAGATATATATTTGTCGACCATCATAGAAGGCACCACCAGCTCATTTCTCTAATTCAGAAAATAACTTTTCAATACGTTGCGATTCCGCTTTGCCGTTACGAGCTAGGGCTTGAAATAAGTTTGGGTAAGACATGTCATACACCGTTGGTCTGCACGGGAAATAATTTTCCTTTCCTGCATCCTCTGATCTCGCATTCCTGATTTTCGTATCATTTTTTTCCCGAAATCGTGAACTGCGCGAAATCTGTTAGTCGCGAAGATTTTGAATTCGAAGATAATTACATAACCGTGTACGAAACGAAATGCCTCAACGGCTGTTTCCATATGTAATATTCAGACACCAAAGAAACAGTGTACCATCATACCTCGATAACGATGATGTTAGAAACGACGAAATATTTGACGTAATTGGCTGCGATATATTGCTGATAAAGCTCTGAATGGACGTTTAATTTTTGTGAAAAAAAAAACAACAACTGTAGTCATAGGCAGACAAGCATCGGTGGCCATGTGGTCACAAATTCAAATTCCTTACCTACTCAATCCCATAGAGAGTCCAGTATCTCAATAATCCTAGGTTTGTTGGTTTGTTTGTTTCTTTTTTTTGTCTGTCCTTTATGGTGTAATCACTTCAATATAAACTTCCTTTGGCAAATCCTGCTTTCTAAGAAACACTTGTAAAGACGCAACCTTGAGTAGATGTTGCACGCGGCTGGAACATAACCACGAATCAACCTTTGAACAACTTTTGCCATTGGCTACGGGAGGCGATGTATGAAGCAAGACGAGGCAAAAACAAAAGCTAGATTATGCCAGCAGGAAACACCTTTTGCTGTTTTTGTGTTAAACTTATATTCTTGTTACCCTTGCGGCTTATGTGTCAGGTTACGTAACGTCGCAGGCCTGTTTCGAAAACATGATGATTTACCTCAGTGGCTCCATCTGATATAGGATTTGTTCGTTTTGATGACGGTTGATTCAACCTCAGGAATGATTAAACAGGAATTTCCCTTTACAATCCATACATTTTCACGTCGAAGGATAATGAAAAGATATCAAACAGCGGTTTCACACTATCCAGAAAAGCTGAACAACGATTATGTCAGTTTTTCCAGATAACATCCCTATATTCCATGAGTGGTTTAATAAGCCTTTTGTTCAAAGATATTAACGCGGATCTTTGAAACATTACAGCATATTTAATCGTTTAGAAGCTTACCAATTGGCGACGGGAAATCTGACTGGCGATGTATGAAGCAAGACAAGGCAAAAACAAAAGCTTGATTATGTCAGCAGGAAACACCTTGTGCTATTCTTGTGTTAAACGTATATTCTCGTTACCCTTGCGGCATATGTGTCAAGTTACGTAACGTCGCAGGCCTGTTTCGAAAACATGATGATGACTTACCTCAGTGGCTCCATCTGATATAGGATTTGTTCGTTTTGATGACGGTTGATTCACCCTCAGGAATGTTTA